CATTTTGACAAGCATCTCCTACCCAGGTTGCCCTGGAAAAAGCAGAGTGTATTGCATGTCCTTCCTTGAACTACAGCCAATAACGACCTCTAAAGTCTTTCCTTTGACATTTTTATGGTTCCATTATGTCATCTTCATTATGCTCTCAGCAAGCTGATGTTTAGAATGGCCCCCAAGTAACTCGTTCCTTTTAATTAGAAGACTTAACAACCTACATTGTCGTTAAAGCATCGCGCTGAAGGACTGCTTGCGAGGTAATCAAGGAGAACCCAACATACTGGCAGCTGTGCCATAACTTGGGGGAGAAAAAATGCTCTTTCTCTAATTTTCCAACAAGAGCTGGACTCTGAATCGTGCACCAAATATAATACCTAGTCCTGTTTTCAAGAAGAGATTGCAAGGTACAAAGACGGAACGGTATATGCTATGCCTTGCCGAAGGGAACCCATTATTGAAAGAATACGTTCAAGTTTCCAAAATGTGCAGGATTTAGAGTGTAAAGGTTATTTAAACAATAATATGATGTGATGAAGGGACACGGGTGGCGCTGTGGGTTAAACCACAGAGCCTAGGACTTGCCGATCAGAAGGTCGGCGGTTTGAATACCTGCGATGGGGTGAGCTCCCGTTGCTCAGTCCCTGCTCCTGCCAACCTAGCAGTTCGAAAGCATGTCAAGTGCAAGTAGATTAATAGGTGGGAAGGTAAACGGCATTTCTGTGCGCTGCTCTGGTTTGGCAGAAGCGGCTTAGTCATGCTGGCCACATGACCCGGAAGCTGTATGCCGGCTCCCTTGGCCAATAAAGCGAGATGAGCGCAGCAACCCCAGAGTCGGCCACGACTGGAGCTAATGGTCAGGGGTCCCTTTACCTTTATGATGTGATGAATCTCTGGTAACAATATAATGTATGTCTAAGAAGGCAGTGGGACGCGGGTGGCGCTGTGGGTAAAAGCCTCAGCGCCTAGGGCTTGCCGATTGAAAGGTCGGCGGTTCGAATCCCCGCGGCGGGGTGCGCTCCCGTTGCTCGGTCCCAGCGCCTGCCAACCTAGCAGTTCGAAAGCACCCCCAGGTGCAAGTAGATAAATAGGGACCGCTTACTGGCGGGAAGGTAAACGGCGTTTCCGTGTGCTGTGCTGGCTCGCCAGATGCAGCTTGTCACGCTGGCCACGTGACCCGGAAGTGTCTGCGGACAGCGCTGGCCCCTGGCCTCTTGAGTGAGATGGGCGCACAACCCCAGAGTCTGTCAAGACTGGCCCGTACGGGCAGGGGTACCTTTACCTTTACCTTAAGAAGGCAGTGCTGTCGGTTCACGCTGTGTCAGTCTCCTGCAGCGTGAGATGGAAGAAGCCATGCAGAGCTGCGCCCCCCCCCCAATTTTGCTGCCTGAAGAGACAAAATGGCAGCCACCGTTCCCCGCCTCACAAGCCAACCAAACTGATGGGTGAATCTTGCTTCAACGCAGAGGGACTGTGTCATGGCAGAAGGGTCCATTGGAGGGCACTGGGCAGGGCACACCCAGCTCTGTTTTCCTGCAAAGGAAAATGGCTGGGGAGGACTGAGGGAGAACGGCAGGACAGAAGGCACCACTATAGCTGCCTCTCACAAGCCCCAGCTCCTGCCACCAGAGGCATCTTGCTCATTTGGTCCACCGGTAGGGCTGGCCCTGGCAGAAACACCCCCACCCCTAATCTTTCCTCATTCCGAGCTGGACTTTGCAGCCAACTGCAGCCAGCATTTTTGCATGTGTGAAACCATTTGTGCTAATAACGCAGCACGCTGTGATCTTTGGGTTGATGCAGTCCAGAACTAGGTGTCTTTGGATAGGCTGTGCCGTATTACTAACCCTTTGGGGTCAAGAGTTTTGGGAGCCTATGAAAAAAACATTCTGTCCTGCGATAGGCACAGAGCGTTCACTGGTAACGTTGGACTTTCATTCTGAGACTTGTGTTAGCGTCAGTCATCGTCCCTTAAGGAATTATGTGAAATATTTTTAACTCCTTGGGTCTGCTTGCTCTGCATTAACTATAAAACGAACCTTTAACGGATGCTTGCTTATTAGACTTAAAGCAGTGGCAAAACATCAAACAGCATGAGTTCCTGTACACGTCTCTCTACTTTCTGTTCTAATAAGCGGGGAAATTTTGTTTCTCCCCCACTGCATATTCTAGTTTAAATAACGGCGTAACTCTGTAATAACAGGATATTTGCTGCCTTGTGGGTACAAAAAGAACCTCCTTTAATTTATTGAGAATGCAGGTCATTTATTATCCTGGTGCCAGTAGAAATTCATGACAAACACAGGGTTCTGGGTGGCTAGATTGTAATAACTCGATATTTGTGACCCTATGTTTGCTCAGTGGACAGAAGAGTCTCTCTTGAGGGCTGGGCAGAGATAATGTAAAAAGGCAGTGCCTTGTTGGAGAGATTTTGTGTCTCATGCTTGTTGGAGAGATTTTGTGTTTCCTGCTTGGCAGGGGGTTGGACTAGATGGCCCTTGTGGTCTATTCCAACTCTATGATTCTATGATTCTATGTATTATTGAGTTGAGATTCTGGCATTGCAGGGGGTTAGACTAAATGACCCTGCGGGTGCCCTCCAACTCTACAATTCTATGGCCCAGGGAGGAGTTCACAATACAACATTGGGGGCTCAGGGTGTCCATTGCACAAATTGTACCTCCAGCAGAGAAACCTTTTGCCAAAAAAGAAAAAGAAAAAGAAATGCCCCTGGCAGAGAGCTTCTGAAACAACCTCTTTAAAAGATGGCGGTGATTATTATAATGTGCTGCAGAAAATGATGGATGCTGTTGAAGACTGAACATAAATGAATACTCATTATTATTATTTGCTTCTGGAGCGTGTGCAACATACTAGGTACTTATGGGAGGAATAAATACCTTCCAATTGCTGTAATCAAGAACACATATTAGCAAAACAACAAGGCTTGTTGAAAGAAAACAGAATTCTGAGTTGGTAGAGTGAACTACACCGCTTCAGACTGTAGGAGGCTGGGTGATTAAAAATAAATAAATTAACACTTCCAGGCCTAGCATGAGCCCAAAGCATCCCCAGTCAGATGCCAGGGCCTCAGGACCCAACTGTTGCCCAAGACCCGCTGTTGCCCAGCCCAAGCCCCCTCTCCACTCCAGCACCAGGCAATCCACCGGCGCAAGCCTGGGAGCCACTTTTCAGATTTCCTACGATGTCTCTGATGTGGGCATTTGGTCAGATCCCTCTTGGAAGGCAGGTGGAAGGAACTGTGCTCATCAGCCTGTCACTGAAGCCACTGATTTCGGAACAGGCCCATCCTCTCACCCCTTTAGCCCCCCACATGAAAAGCTCCCTGCAGCTGTGTTTATTAAAAGGTACTCTTCCCATCCATTTGCTGCTGCCTTTCCTGTTCCACCACTGCTCTCCTCACCCCTCAGTCACCTCCCACAGAATCCCCGTTGTCCTTCCCTCCAAGTTTACCAGGCAGAAGCAGCAGTGGGGGTCCCCCTCTCCCCCTTACATCTAGCCCACGGCTGGCAAGGCTCCAAGCAGCCACCATTTTATTTTCCTAAGACTGCTTCTGGGCCCACCGGTCTGCCCCAGGACTGGAAGTGAAATATTTTTTTAAAAAATTGCAGGGATGGTTGGATCAACATAAAATGGCACCCTCCGTGCAACTACTAAAGCAGGAAACGCCTAATTAAAAATCTCAAGAGAGCCTTTTGCAGAATCGGGCTTGCTTCTGAGTAAATACTGTGGAAGGATATTTATTGGCTATGCTAGGGAGACAGGAATTGATGGAAAATATAGCACTGTATTAAGCGCTAATTCCACCTGCTAATTGCAGAAAAGCATCGCCTCAGCCGTAGAAGCAGCTCCATGGAGAATTCTTTCATAAAACATGCACTTAGGATAATATGACATGGCTTCTTTGCCTCCATCATGACTAATTAAATCCACTTAGTCCAGCCTAGCGGGTCTGAAGATCAGACTGATAAAAGGTTCTTATATTTCTGTCTAGTTAGAAGCTAGTGTCTTCCTGTATGCCCTGGAATAAAATATCCATCCTAATATAAAATACCTTGCAATATTTTCTGCCTCCTCCAGACATGCCTTGTTTTTCCCCTCTCATTCACTGGATTCATTAACCATGATTCCAGCTTCTTTTAGCTTCGGTCTTCAGGTAAAAGCAGAAAGGAATTAAAAGGAAACAATTCCTGTTTCATTCCGGCCTGAGATGGCACACACTTGTTAGTGAAATCTAGCTGCACCGCTGAGCAGAGCACTTAAAAGATACGATAGTTACAGAGGGAGCCTTTTTAAAAAAAATAAATAATGTGCCTTTACTAAAAGGAACATTCCAGAATAAAACCATGCTCTTGTAATATGCTATTCTGCTGTCAAACAGTTTGTGCCACAAACAGTACCAAATTTGAAAGTGTCTTTGCTTAGTGAATAATATAACTGGCCACATGAAGAAGAAAACATTGTGATAAAGCTAGTTCTGGCTGATAGGATTCTTCATGTTTAATAGAATCTAGGTTTGATGGGGGCATCTCAGTAGGTCAAATATGGTTGGTACAGAGCAGTGGAGGTGTTGAAAATAAACACACACACACACACAAATTTATTTGCTTGTAAGATGAACTTTTGAAACTATTGCTTCTGCTGCTTCCTGACACTCAGTTAGCAAAAACTTCCAACAATTTTGCTGTTATTATACAACTTATGGCTGTTCGCTGAGCCACCACCAACATCTTCAGGTGATTTGGCTTCCGCTCAGTGCGATGTTTTTAAAATTTTGCTGTAGTTTCCTTTGCCCCACAAGCAGTTTGTTTATTCCTCAGGCAAATATTCTGTTACCTCTCTTCATTCTGCAGTGCTTGGCTATTTGCACATCTAACCTCGAAGTCAGAATGAGAAATACTGGTCCTTTATGAATACTATTCGTTTGAACAGAGCAATTCCACCACAGTACAATCATGCGTAGGACAAAAACTGAGGTTGTGAGGTGGGGGGAATTTTTGCATGTTTTTATTAACTTTTTAAAAACAGAGGCACGCAGCGTGAAAAATACTTCAGGATACTGTAGGTGTGAAGTACTTTAATCAATTTACTATATCCTCTACACCCGTAGGCCTCATTCTCATTGACGTGCTATATCTGTGTCTGCATCGTACCACTTCAGACTGAATACATATCCTGCACACACACAAATGTTTTAGCCCAGTCTTCTTCTTGCCACACTAGTTTTCTACATGCAGGGACAAGGCTAGGCTTGACACCCCTGACATCTACTTTGCTGTAGGGAAACATTTCCACCCTGCTCTTCAGTTTATCCTTTACGTGAAGCCCCATCTGCAGGCAGAAGCCCATACACAAGATTGCTACTTTAGTCAGAACCAGACCTAAGTCACCAGTATTTACTAAGCAAAATGCCGATTCATGATTTCAATATAAAACATAAACACGTGTGAGATTAAAAACCACTGCTTAGCTTAATTTGATGTTGCGTGTATATAAAACAGCAACACTCAGCGCTAGAAACATGCTAATTGCCCTACAGTAAAATCTGGTATTTTCCCCTGTGGGCCACACTGAGGTGGCCTAATGACCTATGCCACTGTTTTTTTCCTGACTCTTCTCAATAAAAAAAAGAGAGAGAGAGAGAGAGAGAGAGCAGTCCTTGACTCATCACAGCTCACTCAGCTGTCTTTTTAGAACTGCTGTGATTCTCTTCCTGGATTCATCTAGAGATGTTTTTCTGCTTGGGGACTGCAGCGCAGGCAGAGCAGGCAAGCTTGTGTTCATGCCGCTTTTGTACCTATTCGAGAGCGGTGCTTTAGTGGCTCTTGAAATCCCACAGTGTCCCGAGAATGTTATTCCTTTCCCACAGTTTGGGCTCCTCTGCCCGTGATTGCTGACCAATGCAGCGGAGGTTAGGCTGCCCTGACTGAGAGAACACTGTGACAATTGGAAGTTTCCACCGAGTTTCTTTAGCTCCACGACTTGTTCTTTGGCTTGAGCCAAGGCTTCGGTGAGCTCATACCGTTCCTCACACTCCCTGCGCACTGTGTCCTGGAGAAGAGCATTCTGCGTGCATAAAGAAACACATATTTCATAAGGCATTTGTCAGGGAAGACAAAAAGGAAAGGTATAAATATTGCGTGCTTTCTTCTTAAAACGTAGAGGACTCAAGGAACAGAGTGCACAGGCCACTACGCATTATGTGCTGAAACGCTTGAAAACAGATAAGCAACGTATTCATGTCAGTAAAAGTATTGGCTGCCGCATTCTTCTGCCTTGGGTGTGGTGACAGAACATCTGTGCCTGGGATGCAGAGAGGTACTTTAGAGTTCAGATGCGCTCAGGGCTCTCTAAAACTGTATCTGAAGAAGTGTGCATGCACACGAAAGCTCATACCAAGAACTAACTTAGTTGGTCTTTAAGGTGCTACTGGAAGGAATTTTTTTTTGTTTTGTCTTTCCTTTGAACAGTGCAGAGTGCCATGACGCATCACAAACTGCTTTTGAAACCCACCTCAGCTTCAAAAGAGGTTTGCTTTTTTGGAAATGCTTGCTCCACTTGGTTCTTTGGCTAGACACAAAACTGTCCCTAGATACAACTTGATTAGAATACTATATACCACTGTTCATTTTTAAAAATACCAAATATACAAAAAAACCCACCACATAGTCAAAAGGTAACTTAGGCAAGAAGAACCTGCTGCACAAATATAAGAGGGGGGGGGGCAACCTGGCTTTCCGGTAGTACAAGTGGAAAGGATCTAGGGGTCTTAGTAGACCACAAACATAACAGGAGTCAACACTGTGATGCAGCAGCAAAAAAGCTAATGCTATTCTAACCGATGTATAGTGTCCCAATCAAGGGAAAAACAACAATTTTATTTATATGCCACCCATCCGAATGGGTTGCCTCAGCCCCTCTGAGTGGCTCCCCAAAAAATATTTAAAACTCAATAAAACATCAAACATTAAAAGCTTCTCTATACAGGGCTGCCTTCAGATGTCTTCTAAAAATAAAATAGTTGTTTATTTCCTTGACATCTGATGGGAGGGAGTTCCACAGGGTGGATGCCACTACCAAGAAGGCCCTCTGCCTGGTTCCCTGTACCTCCAGAAGGCCCTCAGAGCTAGACATCAGTGTCCGGGGTGAACGGTGGGGTTGGAGGCGGTCCTTCAGGTATACAGGACTGAGGCTGTTTAGGGCTTTAAAGGTTAATACCAACACTTTGAATTGTGCTCAGAAATGTACTGGGAGCAAATGCACCAGTGTTATACGGTCCTTAGCAGTAATCCTTTGTATGCGAGTTGTGATATTGTTGAGTGTGAGTAGTTTATGTTTGAGTGGCTGGTCGATAAGACAAAATGTATGAGGCAGTGAAAGGTTCTGGTGGCTGTGTGGACTGCTGAGTGAGATTGGCAAGTTGCATGAATGTATGCTATATTGCTTGAATAATCTTCATTATGCTGCCTTATTAATGCTCTCTGGTTTTATCTATACGGATGTTCTTTGTACATTTGTTCTCTTATGTAAATTATTTGACATGGTTTTTATTGTACAGTAGTACCTTGGTTTAAGAATAGCTTAGTTTATGAGCAAACCCGGAAGTAGGTGTTTCGGTTTGTGAACTTTGCCTTGGAATAAGAACACGTTCCGCTTCCTGTTGAGTGTGTTCCATTTTTAAATTGAGTCCCCCGCTGCTATGCGAAAGCACGCCTTGGTTTAAGAATGCTTTGGTTTAAGAATGGACTTCCAGAACGGATTAAGTTCGTAAACCAAGGTACCATTGTACTTATTAGGTGTGTGTATATGTTTGTGTGTGTCATTAATACACACTCTCTCTCTAAATGGTCTGTAAATTAAATAAACCAAAAATAAACAAGACGAATTATGTCTATACCATTCATAATTTTATAAATCTGCCTTGAGTTGTCCATTTTATTTTCAACCACTTTTCTCAACAGAATTGTGGTTAAGGTTAAATGAGAAAAGGATGATAATGGTAGAGGAAAACATCCGCAATGATACTAGATATTCAAGCTGCATTCAAGTTAATAAATGGAGCAAAACCCTTTTTTCTGAGTCATAGTGCGTAACCCAGCATTAAGAATTATACTGTGCAAGCCACATTGAACTGAATGTCAGTTGGATGCCTTTTCCAGCAACTGTATAGGACTTAGATTTGCTGACAACAGAACTGCAAAGGCCGTATACCGCCCCCCCCCCCCGGAAGCTCACATGGTTCAGAAACGTCTTTGGCGATGTCTATGTGCCTCAAGCCCTTGGAAGGAGTGAGTTGGAATTTTTTTAACACACACGTCTACCTTCACCTTCATTGCAGCAAGACTGCTCATCTTTAAAGGGATCTGAGGGTGTGGCTTCTGTCTGATGCCCGGGGGGGGGGCTAGGACCATGCCATGACCCCAATGGGGACCCCTCGGGGTGCCCCTATTTGATGTAAGTTATAGGGCTCCTCTTATTGGTGATTTACTCTTAGCTGGACTCCCTGCAGACAGGTGGGAGTCGAAATACAGCCTGGCTTCACCCAATGCCTAAGCCAAACCACTCACATCTGTAACCAATAAAATTGCGGCCTATTTGAACCCATATGCCAAAATACTTGTGTACATGTGTTTATTATCTACTAAGGAACTGCGGGTCATGGGGCCCTGGCATGCATTAACCATTGAGCATTAAGGGCTGGAAAAGTGTTAGACGGTTTTGCATTTTATAAAGAATTAAAAGCAAACAAACCCCAATAGAGTCAAGGACATCGTGAAGGATCTGATTCTAAATTATGAGCTCAGTCTGATTTCATTAGTAGTCCTATTTCAGTCTGAATCTGAATAATGAGGTCTTATTTTAGTATGAATCCAAAATAAGACCTTGTTGAGAGAGATGAAATCAAAAAATATTTAAAAGCAAAGGTGGTACTAAAATATTTAAAGGTGATATATTCACTCTTTCATCAATACCCCAAAATTTACCAGCTCCCACCCTGCAAGCAAGATCAAGAAAGTTTGGGGCAAGAAATAAAACTGAACAGCCTCTGGTTGCAAATGTCTATTTGAATGGCTCAACTTTTCCACCTTTCAGTGGGAGATGGGGGGCATATGGTACAATCTCAGAGATAAACATATTTATTTTAGTGGCAGAGCTTTATGATGAGCTAAAAAGCTACCCAAACTCACATGGGTCAGTACCATATGGCCTAGTTGTATCTGTTTATGTTTGCTCTCAATTTGATATTGTATTTAGCAAAATTTTGGTGTGTTTTTTTTAAGAGATATGAATCAAGGACTTGCTCTCTTATTGACTGCAGAACATCATTAGGGTGGTCTGTGCCATTAACAGTTGTATAGGAGAGGAAATTTCAGCAGGTGTAGCTTGCATCTGTCTACCTTCGTTCTAATGCCACACAAAGGGAAATATTTGGATTGTGGAGATTTAGCAAAACATGCCATCATTTTACCCAAACAAAAAGACAAAACCTAACCCTCATACTTGCATCTCTTTCCCCTAGGACAAGGATAGTGAACCTGTGGCCCTCCAGTTGTAGTTGGACTACAACTCCCATCCTGGCTGGCCATTGGGCATCCTAGCTGGGGCTGATGGGAGTTGGAGTCCAACAACATCTGGAGGGCCACAGGTTCCCCATACCTGATTTTTGTTTCTATCCGTTGATCAGTACTGTGGCAGAGGATCTCACTACAGTCCCTATCTGAATTGCCTCTTTGCATCCATGCTGGTTATTCATGTTTTAGGAAAGGGCTTATTCACATGAGGGCTAAAGACATTAATCTTGTCTTGTTTGGCCCTTAGGTTGCCTTATCTGCAGTACCCTTTCCAAAATATGGCATGAATTTGTAGAAAGGGATGTAATCACCCTGAGATGGCCTATGTCCCTGCATAGGCTTATCTTGCCTGATCTCAGATGGCTGCCATTTTGTGAACTCTTTTTGATTTTGGTGTGTGGCTTCTCAAATGTTTCATACTCTCAGGAATCTGAGCTATTTAAATATTATTATTTTTTTATAAACCTCCCAGTTCTTAGCTTCTTTTTGGGTGTATTAGGGTTTTCATTTTTTCACTGTTTAATTATTTTATTATAAGCTACCTTGGGCATTTTTAAAAACCAAAAACTGGGGTACAAATTACTTTTAATAAGTAATCCAATCAGTTGTCACAAGGAAAATTAGCACGTCCCATTTGGATTGATAATTTTTGACATCTGGCTCGTAATTCCCACCCACAGCTGAGTCTTTGGGGTTTATTTTATTTTGGAATATTCTATTTTGGAATGTCTTGTTCTGGCCTACGTACTACTATTCCTACTATATTTTGCAAGACTCAAGGTCACTACCACAGTCTGACTGAACTTGAAAGCTACATTTCACAGGGCACTTTTATTGTGTCTGGGGCACTTTGTCTGCGGCTAGCAGAGAACTCCCTGGAGACTTCAAAAAGATATGTTCTCTTTGTTGGAAGAGAAGCGGGAGCGGGGAGAAATGTAGACACAGCTTCTGTTGAGGGTCATGCGCAGAGTGAGACAACCTTGGTGAATCTGTGGCCCTGACTACTGCTGCCACAAAGGATGCCTTCACCCTGGGGCCAGACTACACTCATTCAAGAATGATGTTGCCATGGATTTTCCTGCATCCTTGTTGCTGTTTCTACAAGCTGATAAAATTCCATGAATATGTCCCAATAGAAAGGTTTCCTTAGATCTTTCCTCATACTCTTGGGCTTGGATCAATTCCCCATATTCCTGGTTGTATCCTGCAAACCAGACATGCTCGAGGGATGAGTTCACACACAATGGCTCATCACTTGATGGCAGCAACACTCAAATGTGTGAAAGTCACTGCAGTTCAAATGCTACACAAAGATGTACTTCTTCCAAAAATTTTGTTTCGCCTGACATGACACTTATCAGTGGAGCCAGTTCTGTTCAGACAACTATGGATGCTTCCAAGTGCTGAGCAATGATACCTTTTTGCATGTTGCTCTGAACATGTGAAATTCAGCAGCATTGTGCAGTGTCCCTGCTCTAGACCTCCCTGTGCCTGACTGTTTGCAAAGAACTTGGTTGGCATCCATCTGTCTTGGGAGATAATGGAGGAGTGCGCCTTTGTTGGGGAAAACAAACTGTTGGAAGGTTACAGTGTCTGCTGAGGCTGTAGAGACCAATATGGGAGAGACATATTTTGTTGTAGCTAGGGCAGATGAAGGCATCCGGTTGTGCTGCTACAGATGCACCATGGTATTTTTTCTCTGCACTCCTCCCAGCAAATAACATATGCATGTACTATGGTATACATGTAGGGCTTTCTGGGAAAGCGGGTTTCTTAAGTATTGGAGGACGCGGGGAGAACCCTAGTACACTGATGCAGACAGTGAAATGAGCATGTAGAATTTGGGAGCCAGGTCAGTATGTGCAACCCCACTCCCCTCTTCCACATGTTCAACATAATGGGCTTAACAATCCTAATGCAACAAACCACTGTTTGTTCAACCAGGAACAAGCTCTGTGCCTGATGTTCCCTCCATCTCTTCCACTGTGTCTTAACTAAATACTTCCTTATTTCTTAAGACAGTTTCTCATGATGTCCAAACCGGGAAACTGTGTTTTGAAAGATCCCTACATACCAGGACATCAAAACACAAGTTTATCTTGGTTAGATATTCTAGTTTTTGGCTCTGATGTCATGGACAAACACGTACACATTAAGCAACCAGGAAGGTACACAATAGAGGAGGAAAAGGTCGGGGAAGAAAGACTGTGCAGGTACATGGCTTGTTCCATAGTTTGTTGGACTGGGATGGTTAGGTCTCAACCAAGACAAGGCACGAAAAGGACCTAAGAGATGAGACATTCAATTGTGAACCCTGGTTGAATTCATACCTCCTCTTGAACCTGACTCATTTTCTGAATCAACTGCGTTTGCTCTTGAGTCAGTTTTTCCAGCTCATAAGTTTTCTTCTTTATTTCTTCTCTCATGTCTTCTGTCACTGAATGATGGGCGCTCTGTTCCTCCTGCAGCTGGAGCTCAAGCACGGCAACTTGTTTTTTTAAACTTTGCCATTCCTCCTCTCTCTCTCGGTGCTTCTCTGTAAGCTTGCTCTGGGCTTCACAGAGCTTCTTTTCAAGGGTGCCCACTTCCATCTTCAGGCTATTCGTGGCACTTGATATCAATGCAGGTATCTGAAAGACAAATAATGACATTCCTTGGTTTGCAAGGCGTGATGGCAAGGCACCCCTTTGGTTAAACACATTTTCAATAGGGTTAAGTGAGGTTTCGAAAGACGGAGAAAGATGTGAAATCATCACTTCATAAATCAGCAGTGCTAACAATAGTTCAGATAAAATGTGTGGGCTTTTTTTCTTTAAAAAAGGGTGGGTTTTTCCCAGTTTATTGTGGACTTGATGCTTGCACATTTTACACCATGGACTCACACAATATTGTCTTCCTTAAAATGCCATCAAGTATTATTTTCCCATTTAATCAGGATTTACCTTTTCGGGGGGGGGGGGGAACTAGATGTTGAAATGAAAAGCAGAATGGCATATCTGGTTTAAAGTGGGGGCATGGGACAGCATCTTGATGAGGATAATGTTTTGTGGAAGATGCCAAAAGTATGCAATATTATTATTATTGCCTCACCTTTTTCCTAATGGGACTCAAGATAAAAACAGGAATTGCAAAAAACAGAAAATAATAATTAAAAACAATTAAACCATGGCAGAATTAAAACTATATACATATATAATATCTGTTTAAATCCAAGTCCACGATAAACAGCTGTGTGGGCATGCCTGTTCTTTATGTAAGTGTATTACTGCAATAGGACAAGAGAGAGAGCAAACTGTACCAGATCAAGGACAGATCACAAATGAATGAACAAGGAATATTTATTATGTTATATATTTTATTCATTAATTTACTTTGCTTTCCAATAAACGAATAAAATAAATGACAAAGAACTAAAAAGATCCATAAATAATGTAGTAGAAAAGTTTTAAGTATCCAGAAGTCAGCATTGAGATAGAAAGTTTTGCTCATAGAAAGCCTTGCAGAACAAGCAAGCAAGCAAGCAAGCAAACAAACAAACAAACAAGCCTTTGTGACATGTCTGAAGACTCTGTGTGAGGTGGGGGTGTTAGCTGCTGGATTTTCTCAGGGAGGCAGTTCCATAATGGAGCCTGTCCATGGAGCCTGACCCTGTTCCCGGTCACTGCCAGTCTGATCTTAACAAATGACAAGGTCTCCAAAGCAGATCCTGCTTCTCAAATCCAGAAATTCTGAGGTGATCCTTTGTAGCAGGAACCCCCCCACCCCAATCATTCTGCTTGTACAAACTTCACACACACACACACTCACACACTACATACGCCACATCTCTGTTATAAATTCATAGAAAATCAACCATACATCGGATTTGCACTGTTCCATTTTTATTTTACTCCATATGACAAGAACTAACAAAGGGGGGTGACTTATTCCTGGTCAGCCATAATCCCTCCACCATCTCAGCACATCCCAGCACATCTGCAGGAGCCCTGCCCAGATGATCCCAGACAGAAGACAATCAAAATCACAAAGAACTTGCATATGGGAGTGGATTCAGCATGGACTGAAACAAAGGACAATGATCAGATCTTCCCTCAGGGGGCAGGAAACTGCAAACTCCCCTTTGTCTCCTGGAAGTGACTCATGGGGAGGGGGAAAGGAGGAACCAGCCAGGTGACAAGATACTCAGGTTACCACCAACTCCTCCCTCAACCCCTCCTTTCTGTAATATATGCATGATGTTTCTGGGGGGTGGGCTTGACCTAGAGGAGGGGAATTTCAAAAGTTTTTATAAGACCTTGCACACTATTTTTCTGGGTCTTTCCTCTCTCCTGCAAGTGAGGGGAACACCCTGATGCATCAGTTCAATAAAGGCCAAGCCTACAGGCTGCTGTTTTGCTCCAAGTTATCCTGGTTGGTGTCTTTGTTTTGTCCAAGGGAGCCCTCGGATTTTTCCTGTAACACTTGCCAAGTGAGCTGCAGTGCTGCACAAAGGCATGGCGGGGGCTGTGAGAGAAGACAGTGGCTGTTCCCCTCTACAGAGATGGCTCCAATGGCTTCTCAGCTTCCTTTACAGTTCCGGTCTTACTTAGGGTTGTTGTATTACAAAAAATGAAAATTCAGACACAAAAGTTGTTGAGGGTTTGTTTTTTTTTTTGGCAAAGTTGCTATATATGCTCAGGTTTCCCCGGACGTTTTTACCGATTTCTGCAAATTCCGCCCGGACACTATTTCTGACAGGTGAATCCTGGCTATGACTGGGAAATTCTGGACATATGGCAGCCCTAATCCTATCTTCTTCCCAGCCAGCTTCTCTTTCATTGAAGAGGAAATGTCCTTTTTTGAGGGTGGCGGGTGTAGAAGGAAGAAACTCCTAGCCACCTTGCATACAAAAGGTAAGACACACCTCTTCCTCTCAAAAATGTGAAGAATTTGCTTTCCCCCACCTCCAGCCAGCTGGATTAGGGGGAGAGTTCATTCCCTCTCCAAAACTTACAAAAATCACTGGGAAGATACTTGGGTCCAGCGCTATTGGAGATGGAACCTGGAACTTTCTGCATATTCTCCTCTATTGAACTTTGATCACTTCCCCCTTCCCGGCCCCCAATATGATCTTTATGCATTTTCAAAACAGGAGAAGCCAGAGCAATAAAATAAAAATTGGGTTAGGAATTTTGGGCTTATACCAAGATGTAACACTGCATTAGATTGATTGCACATTCTTTTATCATTTGATAATCAGAATTTACTTCAAGCACATAGAGATGTGAGAATTACCCTGTTTACATGATCAGTTTTCCTGGGACAGCCACCATGGAAGTCACTTTGGACTCTTTGAAGTATCAGCCTCAAGGGCCAGAACTCAAGAAGTAAAATGAATGGAAAGAGGGTTCCTGACTCATTTCTTTTCTGAAGTGGGATAAATGTGTTTAACAGCAGAGCTGCTGCCTCTGATTGATGGATTTCACAGTCACACAGAAGAACATTGTGATCTGTAAAAGTCCGAAGGGAGTCGCAAAGGGGTGTGCCTGAGACTCCCAGGGATTCCTCAAATTTTGTAGACAGGATTACAACTCAGAAATGACAAACTGGGCGTCTTGACTGTATAAACAAGTCCAGTTTGAGCAACATGCTGTAACTAAAACACTCTTTTGCTGCTTGCCCATGTCAACAAAAACTATTGATTCTGGGATTGTTTATTGATGTCAGCTCTAAATCTTCAAAACCTAGACTGCGTCTAACTGCCCCATGGTATCATTTGATCTACATGACGAAATTAAGTGAATTCTTCCCTGCCCAGTGTATTTGTCAAAATCCCAAAGCAGTTTATTTTTAGTTGCTAAAACCTTAAGGTGTAGCTGGTCATCGTGATCTTTCTGATATTTTGCAATCAATTCCTGATGCTTTTGTTTCTCAATTTCTAGTTCCATTCTGGCTTCCTCTTTGAGGCTGAGAATCTCCTCTTTGTGATGAGCTTGTTCCTTTGCTCTATCAGCTTTGATCTAGAAAGCAAAAAACCTGGGTGTCAGTAAGTATCTGTTCAACTCGTGTCTTGATTTACATTGAATGTACGGGCACCCAATTCAGAAAAAGGAGGTGGTAAAAAATTCTGTTAATCAAGATGAACAGCCTGTATGTGTCTATTTATATCTATAAATTTTCATTAGTATGAAATATACAAAGCATGCAAAACCATAATATATATATAATGCTAATCACAGAGAAATATAAAAGCTATCAGCAATATTGTATGAATACACACAGATATACAGTGGTGCCTCGCAAGACGAAATTAATTCGTTCTGCGAGTTTTTTCGTCTTGCGATTTTTTCGTCTTGCGAAGCACGGTTTCGGAAAAGTTTTGGAAAAGCTTCAAAAATCACCAAAGTCTTCAAAAACCTCAAAAAAGGCTACCACACCGCCTGCTATGAGTTGCTCCTCGAAGTCAAGTCGCAACTGTATTAACGGTTTTAAGAAAAAGGAAACAAACTTGCAAGACGTTTTCGTCTTGCAAAGCAAGCCCATAGGGAAATTCGTCTTGCGAAGCAACTCAAAAAACCAAAAACCCTTTCGTCTTACGAGTTTTTCGTCTTGCGAGGCACTTGTCTTGCGAGGTACCACTGTAGATAGCTGTTGTTGCCACCTGAAGTGCCTGAAGCACCACTGGTCTCTAAACTTCACATAGCCAGCTAATCTTATGCATGTTTACTTGGAAACAAGTACCTCCCTGCTCAGTTCCAGTTAGTGTACATAGGACTGCAGTCTAAGCTCCATTCCAATTGTTTTCAATAGAACTTAAGTGCATGCCAACATATTGTTTTGAATGATCTGAATATGGGTTGTATTGCTAAGAGTGAATGATTAACACAGTGATTTTGCCTAAAGAGTTGCCTAAATGGGTTCAGGGATTTGTTCCCCGATGACTCTCGCCTCCAAAATGCAACACCTCTTAGAGCTAGAAGGCAATGCAAAGAAACAGCTTGAAGCCAGTCTGAAGAATGAATTTGGGGAGAGGGAATGGTGGGACATTTGTCTGTGGAAGGTGAAGTACGGGCTCTTTCTGGAAATCTTAAAAACTGTTAAACACATCTCTTTGCTTCCATTTGCATAGGTGAAAATAGTCTCCACTATTCTTTCCCCCTCTCTCCCAACAGAACTTAAGCTCTGTAACGTAACCTAAGCTCTGTAACGTAACCTCAGGAATTTCTCATTGCTCAAGGAAGTGAGAGCACACCCAGAACTTTTGCTTGCTCTGAAAAGCATTATTTCGATTATATCTCAAAGGCAAATTAGCAGAATGACTGGAGCCCACACAAAAGGATGGTCTCGTTATTGCAGCTTTCTAATCAGAGATTCACACCTTGGCGCACTCTCAAGCTCTCATTATGAGAATTTCATGAACATTTACGAGAAATGTCAACATTTTTTGGCACAGACAAGCAGTGGGGGAGCTCCAGCCTTTCAACCTGGCAGCTGTAGAGATTTGGCCCACAAGGTAGTTTGGTGCAAGCCATACCCATGTTCCCCACACTTGCTATAATGTCAAATGTGGGGCATGTTGAAGACACGGGTGAAAAGGAACATGGCGGCAAAGGATTATCAGGAGTCTTTAAATGCACCTTCAATAGTTCCTTGGCAGGCAGGGCTTATACTTGGTGCCTTTTAACTGTGCCCTTGCCCTCTGCTATGCTCATTTTTCTGGGCTGATGCCCAACCTAGAAAGAACCCCAACCCCAGTCAGATTGAGTACTGCTGGACATCTCTTTGGGGAAAGAGAGGAGAACAGCCTCAGCTCCCAGATCGGGCTTTTTAACCCTGTGAAATGTGTGGGCAGCACCTATTCTGTGTATACTTCTTTTTACAAATCAGGATAATTGTGTTTTTCCTATCAGGACATCACCTCTGTGCTGGTAAAGAAGTGGACCTCCTCACTGCTGAAGTGCAGCACAAGTGTTTATTATATGTTCCATGTGCAGGTCAGGGAAGTGGCTGAAGTACACTTAAAACATTACCAACAGGGGGCTGAAATGAAAGTTGACTGGCAGTATTGACACATCACTGGAAACTACTCTCAAGATGAAAATGTTTCCCATTTAGCAAACACCTGAAATCAGGGGAACTAATAACCATAATAATGAGGATTCTGAAAGACATTTCTCAATTATCTTGTTCAAGTTGCATAGCAACAATTGATTTTTTCTACTTGCAGAGCATTTTTATAACTCCGTGCATTAAATGCCAAAACACCACTTGAAGCAACTTAATTTTAAAAGAGATTTTCCCCCATTTAACAAAACATGTGGATTGATTTTTTTAAAAAATAAAGGGAACACATTATGCCTATGTAATGGCACAATGACCCAAGAAAAATACAGCAACATCTCTTTGGTCTGATGAGAGCATTTTCAGAACACTTGACATTCAGCACATTTTAATACTGGTTAGCAAATCTAAGTGCTGTCTCTTATTTCTGTTAGTTCTTTATCCATTTTAAATGTCAAGCTGCACAACAAATTCTGATGGTGCAAACAGAGTGACCTCATGCTAAAATTATATCCTATATGTGAGAAATTAAGTTGTTTAGGACAGCTTGATATATTTATTAATAAAAGCCTAAAATGATGATGAATGTGTATAATCTGTGCCTACTGGGATAAAAGATGTGAACATTAAGAGCCTGGCATTGAATGCTTGGGGTTTAATGACCAATCATGAGTAAAGAACATAAGTAGACTTTTGAGGAAGTTGTTTGAAACAAAAGATTGCAGATCCCTCAGCCCAGACACCTGAATAGAAGGCAGAGAACAGCTGTCTAATATGGAACTTATTCACATAATCAAATCTGTAGATATGTTTGTTATAATCATGAAAACGAGGCACCACAGAAAGAACCTGCAAAAAACCCCGACGGCATTCAGTGGAGTAAGTTCACACATTCAACTGCAAGTAACCAAGTGATGCATGTGTGAACTGCTCAAAGAGGGTTTTAAAAAGCAGCATATCAACATGTCTGAGGTTTATCGCATGAACAAGCAGTGTGGTTTGCAAGAAGTGGAGGAGACCAACAGCAGATTCTTCACCGTGAGAAAGAGTTCAAAAGGAGACTCGCCATTTCGATGCTTCAGCAATTAAGCAATATATAAATACCTTAAACAAACAAACAAATTGTCAGGCCTTTCCATAGCCAGTCAATAGGTGACACAGTTCTGCTTGTATTAGATTAGGAACTGGAGGAAAGTTGGGCACTAATATTTTCAGGAGGTCCCACGCTAGTGTATAGAGCTGCGTTTGCCTGTTGCCCTGCAGATTTTTTTGACTACAACCCCCACCACACCTGAGGGCACCAGGCTGGCAAAGGCTGATACGGAGGGTCTGAGACATGTTTTGTCTTAGCTGAGGGATCCTAGCTCACCTTCCCAGACAAATGTTGCCTTTTGCGTCAAATACGGTGATGAACACACAAAATGGCAGTGGAAGTGTGCTCCCTGGTCACATAATGGCTGAATATATTGAGTCATGTGTTTTATAGCATTGGGTCTTTAAGCAGGAATGCTAAACCCTGCCTCTCCTGCTTTTACATTCACAGTGTTTTTTAAAATGCCATACGCTGCCCTGTGTTTCTGTGGAGTTGTATGTTGGAATAAACATTTTAAATAAATAAATCAGTATTTTTTTGTACAGTAACCTTAATTTTGGATGAAAAAAAATATGAAAGTGTAGCTGAACAGAAGCTGTTAGGAAATGAGTGTCGGGCACATTTGCCTGACAACTGACTGAAGTTGGAGAAAACAAATAAACGTGACACTGGAAATCCAGTATTACCTTTTCCTGCCAGTTCTTTTCCTTCAGCACCTTCTGCCTCAATGTTTCCTGCAGTTGCTCCATTCTGCTCCGATGGGAAATCAGCAGAGACTCCCTAAATATGACAAATATCCATGAACACCAGAGTTTCTATGGAAAGAGTGGGGGAAACCAGCTCTAGCTTATGAGATTTACCTTCCCTCTCACCATTCAACTACAACACATGCTCTCTCTTTCGAATTAATTTTGGTTGCTATTACTGCAATGGGCTCAGAAATCTAGTCAGAGCCCATGTATTATAATTAAAAATATTGATGTAGTTGACTCCAACTCTCTCATGTACCGCACTGTATTTGTAATATTACTGATGTGCAATCTTGTGAATACATTGATGTAAAATACTTCTCTGTGCCTGAAATAATTTTCAATTCCTATGACTGGATAAATATTGACACGTGTGGCATCAGATGTAGGCAAGGCGGGCATGGCTTCACAAAAACAGCCTCGTGGGCCACATGCAAAGGCCTCAGCCCTGATTTCAAGGCTCTCATCATTCTTCATTCCCAGTCCTCTTTGGGCACAGAGGTCAAAGCAAGTACTAACATGCCCATCCCCAATTAGATGGGAGCTGCTGGTGGTATGGGTACAATTTATACTCCACTCAACTATCTCCCAGAAAAGCAGCTTCTTGCTTGGGAAGAAGGAAATGATTCTGATAGCCAGCTGATCCCCAGACTTAAAAGTGAGATCACTCTGTGACCTGCAGAGTATTCTGGGTGTGTTGCCCTGGAAAAGATTTTCCTTGATTTAAAGGAAGCTGGCAAGGGCTGGGAACACTTGTTCTAATTAAAATCTCATTGCTTGAAACGATGCCCGATAGATGCTCTGCAGGGTTCCTCTGAGTACACAGAGCTCTGTGCAAGAAGGTCTGTGAATTTTTGCACTGTTAAGAGAAAGCATCAGCTCCTGCTTACATGAAGAACTGTGAATGTATCAGAGCCCTTGGTTGGTGCCACAGGGCAGAGGTGGGTATGTTGTGATTGCTGATAGATCTGGATTGCAATCTACTCCTATCTGTTCCTGTAAAATGCCTCTTTGTCAGAAGGAGTACTTTCAACATTTATAGATGGGGAAATGAACGTTGCAGGGAGAAAGAACACTCCTAGCATTTCTGTCCCAGCCAGTGAAACTTTATTCAATTAACTATACAAATAAATGTTTGCTAACTTATGAAGATCTGCTGTGGAGAAGTTTAACAAGTGCAGCTTCTCCTGTGAAGCAAGAACTTGCTGGACTCCTAATTTCTGTTACTACTGCACTGTTCTGAAAGAAGCAAGAGCCCATTCATTCAAAGTTTCACCTGCAACTTTAATTTCTATGCGGTGACATTATTAGTCACCCGGTGGTGGGATTTATACATACATGAAACTTCCACTTGCTCAACTTCCACTGAACTGTGTGAATTAAGTGGGGCTACATGTTCCAACAAACAACAGAATGCAGACACCATTTGGAAAGGCTACAAAATGACATCTGCTCAGTGACTGATGGGCTACGGAATCCAAAGTTTGTTGGGCCTCTTGACAGACCATGTATTTGGAAGTGAAAGACTAGGGGTCAAACTAGGTGATAAGGCATTGTGGTGGTTTTAAAACAGCATGATTGGATTGGGGCCCTGACACTGAGAGACACTCTTCTCTGCACCATTCTTGTCCCCCCTACCCAAGGTATTTGCCCCACACAAAAATGCATATCCCACACAAGTAGCTGAATATTATCCCTAGGAAGCAAATGGGCTGCCCAATATAGATTGGGAACATGACACAGAAGAAGGGTTAAGCCCCACTTCCCCAGCACTGCAGTTCTAGGCTGAAATCCTCCCCTCCTCACTGCTGCTTTTAAACTTTAATAAACAATGGGAGACCAGCTCACATATCTCCAGACATCTTGTCTTGGCCAAATTTCAACCCCACTCCATGTCTAATGTAATCCACGTTGTGTTTCCACTTAGGGGCCCTTTACAGAGCAGAAACATGGTATTACTGGGGCTACTGTATTGAATAAATTGGTAAGGTTACAGTATTTCACTGGGACACAGTTTGGAAATTTTATAAATCATGCAGAAGGTCCCAGGTTCAATCCCCAGCATCTCCAGGTAGAGCTGGGAGAGACTCACTGTCTGAAACCCTAGAGAGCCACTGCCAGTCAGTGTTGGCAGTACTGAGCTAGATGGACCAATGGTCTGACTCAGTATAGGGCATCTATGGGGGAGCTTGGATTAAAGAACCTTTAAGAGCCTATCCAAAACCCATTGTCAGTAGATGTTGAATCAGTCTGCAGAATTCACATCTTAGGTAATGTAGTTAAATTAACCACCACCACTATGGGCCTATTTCACTGTTAACGGTTTTCCTCCAAAGAATGCATGCAGAGAACTATGTCGAAAGCTTTGCAAAATTCACACAGATGCTCCATGGGTATTTTTTCATGGAGGAAATAAACCAATCTCAGCTTCAGTGGAAGGGTCTGCCTTAGAAGATGGTGGGCTCTTCTTCATTTTGGCGCCAAAGACATTGTTTATCAGGATGTGACTTGGGGTCAAATTTGACAAGTGGGTGGCTTCACCCACTTGTTTAAATTTCATTTGCTCACCTCTCAAAAGTGGGAAGTGGTTTGTGAAAGACTTTGTGAGTCTCCACCCTTCCTTTTTAAGCCCCCAACCTTTGATCTTTAATCTCTTCTCATCAGCTGACAAGAGGTGATTAAATCCTCTTGCCAAGGCTGCACAATCCTGTTCTATGCTGGGAAAAGGGCAGTGCAGCCAATGCATGATTAAATCCTGTCCTTCTCCCTATCAGCTGACATTGCCAATGATGTCACCTGATGGTCAGGTGGCTATTGCTTGGGGGAAATGGCATGGCAAACCAAACTGGACCCACTGGAGAGCCAGGATTGACTTGTGAGCTAGAGATTCTCCACCCCTGTTTTAAGCAGAGGATGGATGGTCAAAGATCATGGATGTCATAGCAGCAGAATTCCTGCATCAGCAGGAGGTTGGAATAGTTGACCTAAGCTTCCCATAGGCACCTCACTGGCCAGTGTGAGAAGAGGATGCTAAACTAGGTGGGTTCTTTGGTCTGATCTAGCAGGGCTCTCCTTATGTTCTTATGTCATTTCATTGCAAGCATTGTTTGAAGATACCATTATTTGAAGAAGCACCAGAAAGATCGCTCATAGGATAGCATGCTTAGAGAAACAGGCAGGGAACGATTTGACAAGCTTTTATATATATATATATATATATAGAGAGAGAGAGAGAGAGAGAGAGAGAGAGAGATGAACATAATAGTTATACGTGAATATCATCACTAAAACAGATATGTCGTAGCTGAGAACTGATCTGATGTGATGCCTGTGTCTGATGTGAACTACTGCATCATTCAAACATCAAGTTAGCCTTGAACTCACTAGGTTGCTTGAGATAAGCTACTAGGTCCCCATCAGCAACATGTGGACAATATTACTGAATCATCTCCCAGAGATGTCAGCAGTGATCAAGGAGGGTGGTTGTGGAGGGCAGGAAATAGCCACTGCTGCTGAGCAGCTAGCAAATGAGGTGGTTGGGGCCCCACATCCTTAATTTCAGATGCTGGTGGAAGGCAGGGGGCAGTGCAGGCCTTCCAAGAAACATCCACTTATAGAACAATAGACTAATAGAATTGTAGAGTTGGATGGGACCACGAGGATCATCTAGTCCAACCTCCTGAGATGCAGGAAACTTTCAGTCAACACAGGGTTCAAACCCACGGTCGTGAGATTAAGTCTCATGCGCTACCAGTTGATCTCTCTGGACACTTGTAAAGATGTGAATTCTCCCTCCACACAGATTGCTGCTAAGTGGTGGTGGTAGTATGTGAAGCATCTGAGACATTTTACGTACTATATCTACTGCACCCAATCCAGAGGAAATTAGTCATGATTCACCACTGGAAACCAATTAATTTATTTATATTAAATGTGTATGTTGCCCTTCATTGGTAAATCTCAGGGCAGTTCACATCTTGCAAACCGGGTTTGTTAGCTGTTGCAAAATTCTCTTGGTGACTTAAATGGGATTTAAACATGATTAATTTCTTTTAGATTGGGGTCAGCATTTCTGTTCTAATCCTAGGCAGTTAAGGCTGAAATCCTAAACACACCCACTAGAGACTAAGCCTTACTGCGTTCAGTGGGAATAGGCTTATCCTAAAAATATTTCCCCCCCCCTTATTATTTAAAATATTATTAGTTCAGTGCACAGTTAATATGCTGTGCTCTGTAATGATTTATTTTGGGTGTGGAGGACTGTGAAGAGTCAACTTGTAGGGGACTTTCAGTTCGACGATATTCTCAGAAAGAAAATCTAGGCAGAACATCCTGTCCTGTAACGCTATGCATGGCAAGTCATTTCTGATTACCTTTCTTGCCTAAGCATTACCACTTCTTCCTCTCGCTGCTTGAGAAGACTCTTAATCGTTTCCAGTTCACTCTCCAAATGGTCGGTGCGTTTTTTTAGCTCCTCTTCTTTCCTCTCTTTCTCAATCACTTCTTCCTGTAAACGTCCAGATGCTTGTTGGCAGGCAAGCAAAGACTCTTCTCGCTCTTTCAGGGTATTAGCAAACCTAAACACACACACAAAAAAGACCGCATGTCATAACCGAAGCAGTCGGTAAGCATATATAAAATGTATTCTGACATGGCCCTTACAGTAAATGCGAACACTATGCAAATAACTCTTCTGCATTATACCAGTGTAGTTAAGTCAGTGTGAACAGACTGTGTACTGATGAAATATATAAAACAGCACAAGAAAGAGAGCATGATACATTACCATTGTCATCATTTGTTATTAATAATTCTGTGCCTTAAAAATGTAAATGTTTTACAGAAATTGATGAGGGAAAAGGGAGTTATCATAAAAGGGTTGGGGGAAAAGAGGAGATATGAGAATAAAAAATAGAAAATCAGCACAAAGCAAAAGAGGAGAAAAACGAAGATAAATGAAAAATGTCGGTAAAACCATCATGTGAATAGAATAATTTGATTTTCCACATTTCAGAGCAGCATCTGCATACAGTTGTAATAAATTCTGACTCATACTGAGATGTGGATGCTCCAATTTCAGATGTCAGTTTCTGGAGTTCACTTTGATAGTCTTCAACTTCTTTTGACTTCTTTCTAGAAAATAAAATGTAGTATTATAAATCTACTTGCCTTTAAAAAATCAACAGAATCCTTCTCATACAGTAGCCTTTATTTGTTAATGCTCTCAATAAGATGTTTTATTTTACCTTTTGGCAAAATACAAACAGGAGAGTGTTATTGCACTTTTGCCCTGCTTGTGGGGGGAAAATGCTGGACCAAGTAGGTTTTCTGTCTGTCAGGCGAGCTCTTCTCATGTTCTGAAAACAAACTGCAACTGCATTTTGTTTCAGTACATACTTATGTTGACTATTTAGCTTTAGATGGGGGATTATTAAAACTGTTTTTAAAAAAATCTGCAACAAGAATGACTTTGAAGAGCATTGTTAACACATGCACACATCCCTTCCGTTTAAGTGGTGACTACATTTCCTTGCTCATGCTCCAAATTATTGGCACCCTAAATGAAATTACGAGCAATTCTCCTCCATATCCAAAAATTCAGAAAAAGTATTAGGACAGAGTCAAGAGAGGTAATTATCATAGGAGTTGCATGTTTTTTGCATGGTTGTGGACTGTTTCGGATACCCTTTTGGCTAAAGGTTAGATGAGCATACAAAGGAAGTGTACTTAGAAGACATCTGAAGGCAGCCCTGTTTAGGGAAGCTTTTAATGTTTGATGTATTCCAGTATTTTAAAAAAAAAATTTTGGAAGCCGCCCAGAGTGGCTGGGGAAGGCCAGCCAGATGGGCGGGGTATAAATAATAAATAATTATTATTGTTATTATTATGTCACTTAGTAGGAGCTGAAAAAAGGATGAGGAAATGAGAATCTGAAATAAAGGGCAAGTTGAAAGTGGGTAAAGATGGGTGGGGTATAAATAATAAAGTATTATTATTATTATTATCATCATCATCATCATCATCATCAAATTCTTGATAACAAATTCTTTATGATGCAGTAGTACAATGCCACATTGCCCATTCCCTATAATTCCAGCAGTTTTTCCAGGTTTTAAAAGACATGTCCCTTTGGATTGTTTTGCTCGCAAGTGTTGTCTTTCCTTAAAATATATGGGGTGAAGGGTCTGCATAGAGCTCTTCTTTGCCTGGACTGATTTAAATCAGGATGGCTCAGAATAACTAATACTTGACTTTTGTGACTTGATGTCACAAAAAACTATACCAGACCTGGCATCGTTTCTGACAGGTAAGGCAGAATGAGGACTCAAGGATTAATCCAATCATCCAGAAAGAGAGAACAGTCACATCATGGCATTGGAAAACTCTGCATTTGTATAAAGACGTGGGGCTTGTACTTTGACTAATTTATTGTTTAGATTTTGTACTTAACAAACGTCTCATTAACTAAAAATCCAGGCGTACTGCACGAGCATTACATCACTTTCAAGCATAAGCCCAGTAGGAAATGCATAACTTGGACAAGGCAAATACCTGCTGTGTATTGCTATAACCAATATTTGGAAACAGCTCAACTCATGCATAAGGAACCACTGTACACGCCACTGACTAAGGCTGACCAAAGTGAAACATGTCTGGCATTCCAGGTACTCATAGAACTCCACGAAAGAATATTTAGAACCTTCTCATGTGTTGTGTTGAGTTTTTCTTTCATACTCATAACCCAGCCAGATGGGCAGGGTATAAATATAAATATCAACAACAACAATAACAACAACATGCTGTGGATACATTATTGGGAAGTTTTGAATGCTTGATGTTTTAGTATGTTCTGATATATATTGTGAGCCACCCAGAGTGACTGGGGAAATCCAGCCAGATTGGTGGGGTATAATAATAATAATAATAATAATAATAATAATAATAATAATTAGTCATTTGAAGTCTCTACATTAGACAGGTTTTGTTTAAAATATCTATTTCCACATTTTTTGTTTTTGTACTTTTCCTTTTCCTTTCCACATCCATGCCAAAGTTCAACTATTTTTTCCTTATCTACTGTTTGTGATAAATAGTGCAAACACATTCACTGACCGTTTCCTCATCCTGCTTTGTCAAAATATAGGTTGAAAGTAAGGCACAACAGTACCAGAAGTGTGGCTTCTACAGATTAAGGTTGGGCCTTCGGAGTATAAAGACGTACTTTGCAAACCTCAAACACTTGCTATGACTTCAAACCTTTCCAGTCTCCCACTGTTTTCCCACAGTACTGTCAGAACTCAGGATCTGGAGGCAAACTGGGAGCTCAGCCAAGAAACAAATGGGGATGGTAGTCTATGAATGGTCAGGGCCAACCCTGCTACTTGGCAACAGGGTAAAAACGACATGCTTCAGGCAGCAACATTAACTGGGTCGGGACAGATAAAGGCAGGAACTGATGTCTAAATGGTATAGCAATACTTTTCAAAAACTTGGCTCAGCACTGAGAGCAACTCAGACAAGAATCAGGTGGAACCTTACTATCACATTTGTGGCACCTGACCCTTGTTTGAGATGGTGCGTGCAACAGCACTCTCTGCCTATCTGCAGGTGTCTGTTGCTTTCTTCTCAATTTTGAATAGTTAACAGTATGAAAAAAAGGGTTAAGCAGTCATTCTCGCCTACTGGACTCTAATGAAGGCATCAGCTTATTGTAGTTGAAATTTATTGCTGTAAGATACTGGTTGTCAAATTAATTACTTTGGTGCTGATGTAGTGTACATAATTACATATATTCTGTAACTTTGTGTTTCTTTAAAAAAAATGAAGACAGAATTTTCATTCATTCCTTTTATTCTACTTTCAGAAGTAAAAAAATAATTAGCCAACTGTCCAATGATTCACATACCTAATTATTGTCAAATAACTGCTACATGAAAGTAAACACATTTGCTGAAGAATGTCAGAAGACCTTTAAGTCTAAAGAATTTCTTTTGAAATTTGTCAAGTCAATGATTTCCAGAACAGGCTGTCACAATGATTTATGTAATTGCTGAATTCAAGCATTCAGTTCAAAAGAAAGTTCTACAGCCATTACATGTGGCATGGAAAAATGATGTCTTGACTTAATATCATTATGTGTTAATGTTGCCAGTAGGCATTCCTTTGAAATGTATAGATATTCTTTGGTAACATGATTCAAATATTCAAAGATTATAGCTGTAAATCCATGACATAGACACCACAAATGCTAATTTAGTCTGAATGCCGCTAATTATATACTAAAAGCACCTAATTCTGAGTACCAAAACTAAAACTAGGAAGTATAATGCATGATAAACTTTGGAATAAGGTCAAAACAGTGAACTCAGTGCTGCTGCTGCTGCTGCTGCTGCTGCTGCTGCTCCTAGAAAACACACATGCACACACACACAAAAAGAAAGAGAGAGAGAGACTTGTTTTTGTAGAATAAATATTTCAGGAACCTTGCTGCTATTAGCCATGGGCAAGTTGCCATTCTTCCAAGCAACCCTGTTGCTTCAGATGTCACTGAAGTTGCCATTTGTGATATATATGTACAGGTGGGCAGCTGAGAATATAGATTTTGTGGGGGGGAATAGCACTTTTTCTGTATGAACCTGCAAAGCTGCACAACTGATCATCCTTGTGCGGAAAGTGAGGAAAGTAGGAAAAGGGGCACAAAGTACGTAGGATCATAGAATCATAGAATTCAAGTTGGAAGGGACCCCAAGGTCCCTTTTGCTACTGAAGGCAAATGAACATAATGGTCACAAATCCAATACATTCAGGACTGGCACTGTTCATAAGAAATCCAGTTGCAGCAGACTTACACTTACAATAACTTATAATAAGACTAAACCTTAACAGTAAGCACACTATATAAAAAACACCACACCAGTTGGAAAGAGATAGAAAAGAGTGAAACCCAGGCTCCTTCTGGCCTTACTATTATTGTCAGCATGACCTTGACAGAAAGAGATAACGGAAACAGTTTAAGTCAGCTGTACTACTCAGCTTCTCTGAAGGAATAACCCAAACATCACGAACCTTCTGCTTGTTTCCTTCACACAGAGAAGCTTCCAGAACCCTCTTGAATTAATTAAAACAGGAAAGACTTTCTGCACTAAGCACTCAACCCCTTGCAATGCAGGAATCTCAGCTAAAGCATTCCATGACAGATGGCCATCCAAGGTCTGCTTAGCAACCTTCAAGGAAGGAGAGTCCACAACCTCCCAAGGGAGACCGTGCCACTGTTGAACAGCTCTCAACCGTCCACATTAGGTAAATGAAAGCCCTTCCTCGCTTTTCACGCACCTTACCAGAGATGAAAAGGGCCTCTGCTAGGCACATCAACTGGAAGTATATGAAAAGCAAATAAAGAAACAAAGCATTTATGCAGTAAGGTTTAATCAATATACCAACGGTTCTAGTGTGAAAGATTTAAGAGGCCTGCCCCATCCCCACAGCCTCAGAAGTTGCATGCCTGCTGATCCATCCATCTCCATGTACCTGAGTCCCTGCCTACATAGAAACTCCAAGGATGTAGGTATCTTCTCACCAGACGTTTCCTGGATCTCCTGTTTGCCCTAGTGATCCAGGTTCAGTGGGATTCATTTTTTAAAAAAATATTTTTTATTAACCAACCAATCAAATCAAATCAAATCACATAAATTACAAATTACAAAGCTGAATTTTAAATTTTTGTTGGGGGTACCCATATTTCAAGTTCCGAAGGGGATCCAATCATCTTCTTGCTGCTGCTTTAATGTCCACAAATCTGAACAAATAATGTTCACAATTCTATCCAATCCTTTCTTGTTGTTTTCCACATCTCTTCTTGTTGTTTTCATATATTTTTCCTTTCTCTTTGTGATCTCTGATGGTCTCCACAAGCAGGTTAAGACAAATTGTAATCCTGTGTGGATTTTTTCTGTTCATCCAAGAGCCATATCCAGACAGCTTCCGTATATCATCGCTTCCATAAATAAAAACACTCTTACCGTCGTTTATCTTCACAGGTCTGTCGCTCCCTTCTCAGTCCTCTGAGGAGGTTCGCTAGGAATCCAGTATGAAAACAAATCCATTCCTCTTCCCGGTTGTCAATCTTTCGACAG